TTTTTTTTTTTTTTTAAAGCATATCAAAGTATACCACAAGTAATATTTTTCATTTACTTTCACAGTATGTTTAGTTAACACATTCATCCCATAGGTGAACTATTTGAGACTGGGAGGAGATGCAAACCCAACCTCATGGAATTACAAGCTAGTGTCCTCCTAGTGCTTTTATTCCTCAGCTGCTTAATTCTGTCCCATTTCTGATGTGCAGGCGTACCTGAGGATGTGTGGTCTGCCAGTTCAGGTGTTCTGCAGAGCAAATGCTGAATACATGTCACCTTCTGGTTAGTATACATGTAGCTTCAGAGACAAATTCTGGGTGTCTGATCTCAACACTGTGTGAATCTCAGCACTCATTCTGCTCATTAAAACATTACACAACTGTACACTGTAAGCTGGAAGGATTTTATTCGAAATGAAAAGCTAAGTTTGCTTCCAGGATTCGTGTAGGTGCATCTGGAAGTTACTTTGTTGCAGGTTAGCTTTTTGTGTTGAATTAAATGTGATGATTTTAATGCCCAGCCTTTTTATGTTTGTGTCCACAGGTAAAATTCCCTTTATCCACGTGGGCAACCAGGTGGTGTCAGAACTGGGGCCGATTGTGCAATTTACTAAAGCTAAGGCAAGTGTTGTACAGATGAAAGCTGTTTGTTTCTTTTGGCAAATTTGCTTCTAGTTTTTCCCAGTGGAGGAGCAGGTTTTCATATTTCTTTCTGCTGTTGTCTTCTTTTGGGTACTTAGGGTCATTCTTTGAGCGATGGCTTAGATGACGTTCAGAGAGCTGAAATGAAAGCGTACATGGAGCTGGTCAACAATATGCTGCTTACTGCTGAGGTATGAAAAACATAAAAACCATAACATACTGATACTAGAACTTCAGCACATGCACAGTTTTTATGAATGTGTCTGAGAAGTATCCTCTCACACATGTCCTCATCTCTCTACAGTTGTACATTCAGTGGTGTGATGATTCTACAGCCACTGAGGTGTGTACACCAGGTTTAAAAACAAAACTTGTTAAAGTCTTGATAGCCTCCTAATCAGCTGTATCTGTTTTTGTAGATTTCTCGTCCCAGATACAGCAGTCCATACTCATGGCCTCTCAATAAAATCCTCGCCTACCAGAAGCAGTGGGAGGTGCGCAGGAAGATGAACGCCATTGGCTGGGGAGGGAAAACGTTGGAGCAGGTTAGCAACAACCTGGAAGTGAAAAGTTGATGTTTTGCCAGCTCTACAATTCCCTTTCTGCAATCAGAAAAATAATTTCCTATCTTTTTCTTTTAAAGGTGGAATTCTTCAAAATGTTACAGAATTGATCTTTTAGACTGTTTGAAGGCCCTTAACTTTAACTTATTTGTGTTTGTCTCTTATTTGTGTAAGTAGGAAAAAGAACCCAGTCTGATCGTCAACATCAGACTGTCTATAAAAAATAAAGTAAACAAACTTGTTTTAAACGTCTGTATGTCCTCATGTATTTTAGGTTTATGAAGATGTGAGTCAATGCTGCCAGGCTCTCTCTCAGAGGCTGGGAACACAGTCATACTTTTTTAATAAACAGTATGTATTTTTTTTTTTTTATATCTGTATGTTTCTGGTTATCGCTTTCTCTTTTGTCTTGTTTATAGCGACTGAATAATAAATCTACATCTGAGTTCTCCAGAATCCTTTCTCCAACCCCTGTTATAGGCATTCACACCAAAAAGGAAATGTTTCTAATTATTGCAAGCAGTTTTCCTGGAGCACCACCTTGTGGTTTAAAATTGTATTGATCTCGTAATCAACTGAAAAGCTTTGTTCTGTACTCCCTGGCAATGTTTGATTTGTGTTAGAACAAAGTATTACAAGTGAAGCCAGTGTCTGTAACACCTCATTTCTCATTATATTTAAAGCTGAAGGAGTGCCAGTCATTAACGGAGTGTGTGTGTGGCGTGTGTGTTATAGGCCTACGGAGCTGGATGCATTGGTGTTTGGCCATCTCTTCACTATACTGACTACTAGACTGACCAGCACTGAGCTGGCAGAGAGGGTCAAGAGCTACAGCAATCTTCTGTCCTTCTGCAGACGCATTGAACAGACCTACTTTGAAGACAAGAGCTCCTGAAGGACTGAAAATAACATATCACCTCTTCTCGTACATTCTTTCCTCCTCTCATTCCCCAGATTGTAGCCCTAAGAAGCTGAAATGCCTAAAACAAAAAAACTGCATACGTGTCCTTTTTCTTATTTTTCCTTCACTTGTGGCTTCCTGTTCATACATCATCTCCAGAAGTTTAAGAATTATGAATGTCCTAAAGTAAGCATAATTTGTAAGTGTATTAAGAATATGTAAAAGAAAATGTCCTGAGTTAAATGTATTTTTCAAAATATTATGAGAACAAATGCCACATATGCTAGTAACTGTGATCATCACAGTTAGTGGAATACCTTGAAAATCTAGCTTTATAAAAAGTGAATACAAAAAATATCAAAGCTGATATACAACCTTAAATCAGTCTGAAATGAACATCAAAGATTAGGATTAAATGCTGATCAGACTTCCAAATCTTTCAGATTTGTTGTCAGGATCAAGTTCACCTCAGCAGAATGTCTGCACACACTTGGGTTTTTCATGTTTTACACTCTTTTTCACGGAAGTGGTGTCTACATGTGTCAGAGTGCATGAGTGCGTTTCTAAACGCCCACCGCCTCGCTGAAAACCGAGGTGTTGATTTCCCAGCCTCGTGACATGACTGCATTTCAAAAAACAGAACTCCACTTGACCTACGTCCGAGGTCAAATGGCTCACTGTGTTTTTCCTCCAGGGCACTCCCAAAGCTTGCAAGAAATGTGAAACAGAGAGAGAAAATCCAGTGAGAGGTTACTTCTTATTCTGTACAAAATGCATGAACATAATCATGAAGATGTGATTTATTCCTTATTTTTTCCATGTTTTACTTGTGTGAATAGAAAGTGCCTACATGATGGAATACACTTGCCACAATACATTTCTCCCCCAAATAATACGTGTTCGGAAGTTTGTTTGATATTGTTTGAAATTATAACACAAAACTATATAGTGGCTCTTTCATTAGGTACCCCTGTATGTTTTAGCATCGGGTTTTATTGGATTAATCCCTCATATGTTGCCAAAACAAAATCTGAAAGAGAAGTTTAAAAAGATGGAACATGCTGCCAAGTTATCGGGTGTCTGTTTCTACCTTTGGGTCTAATACAAGCTCAATGGTAATGTCTGATCACCTTTGATTGCCCTTGAGTTGAACAGGTTGTGAGTGCATGACAGACGGGCAGAGCGAGTCTGTCTTCCAGGTTTCCTGTGAGGTCGGGCTTTGACCCTTGAACTTCCAGGAGCTGTGGCATCATGACTAATGACCTGCAACGACCAAATGCTGCACACTTGGAGGTCATCAGCCAGGCACCAGACAGAGATAAATACATGGAAAAACAAAACGGTACATCTTATTGAAGACATGTAGTCAAGTCTGCAGTTTTTTGTGGA